TTTTGCAGGTTATCAGCTTGGTTTTGCGGTTTGCACTAATTGTTTTGAGAAATGCATTAACTGTTGTGCAGAAATGCACTGGTGTTGTGAGAAACGCACCAAAGCGACTGAGAAAAACTGTAATACCAAATAAACTTAAGAGGAACACTTTTGTACTTTTAGGGTACTAATATGTACCCTTGAGGTATTAATATGGACCCTTTAGATACAAATTTTTACTTTTTGAAAGGTACCACCCCAGTGACAGCTCGCGTACCTTTATTTCTGAGAGTATTGTATGTAACACATTCCTCTCATTCTACCCTTTTATCCCACAGTCAATGATTTTACATCATTAGTTAGACAGCCACTCAATAGTTAAAAACAATCTCTATTTCATTTCACTTTACTGTAATTAACCACACAATATATATGTACCTGCACCTTTAAAAACATTATCTCTATTGCACAGGAAAATAACATCAATTATCATCATTCACTTATTCATGTCTACATTAATGCAATAAAATTCAAAAACAATAAAACTACATTTTCATCTCATTATTTGTACCATCACATGGTCAAAATCCATGAATCACAATATTATAGCTAAACAACAAACCATTAAAGAAATACAGAATGATCCCATTTCTCATTTCTTCCTCTTGGTGTAAGTGATTTTTATTTATGAATTCAGAACGCTTCTCTTCATAATAATCTTATTCAGATTACCTCATCTATGTGATTCAAATACTTCTTCAATTCTTATACATTCTAGTTATTTGACTTCATGTCCAAAATCTATAAAATGTCTTGCTAATGCCGAAGTTATATCTTGCCGTCGTATACTTGACTATACTTTAGTTATTAACCCCGTTTATTTTTTTTTGCCGAATTGCCAAACACATGGAAGATTTTTTTCAACACATTTCTAAACATTAAAGTTTTAATAACTCATTTCTAATAATTTATTTATTTTATCGTTGCCATGATGACAGCACATAATCTTTTACTAGATATTTTTCAAGACACTTCTATACAGCTTAAAGTGACATTGAAAGGCTTAACTAGGTTAATTAGGTTAGCTAGACAGGTTAGGGAGTTCAGGCAAGTTATTGTTTAACGATGGTTTGTTCTGTTGACAGTTGAAAAAAATAGCTTAAATGGGCTAATAATTTTGTCCTTAAATGGTATTTAAAAATTAATAACTGCTTTTATTTTAGCCTACATAAAACAAATAAGACTTCCCCAGAAGAAAAATATAATCAGACATTACATGAAAATATAAGATATGAAAATTTCCTTGCTCTGTTAAACATAATTTGAAAGATATTTTAAAAATAAATAAATTAATTCATTCATTCATTCATTAATCTGGGGTCGCCACAGCGGAATGAATCACCAACTTATCCAGCAAGTTTTTACGCAGCGGATGGCCTTCCAGCCGCAACCCATCTCTGGGAAACATCCACACATACACACACACACTCATACACTACGGACAATTTAGCCTACCCAATTCACCTGTACCACATGTATTTGGACTGTGGGGGAAACCGGAGTACCCGGAGGAAACCCACGCGAACGCAGGGAGAACATGCAAACTCCACACAGAAACGCCAACTGAGCCGAGGATCGAACCAGTGACCCAGCGACCTTCTTGCTGTGAGGCGAACTGCGTCGCCTTAAATAAATTTAAAGGGGGCTAATAATTTTGACTTCAGCTTTAAATAAATTTTTTGTTTTATTTTATTTTTTTGCAGTAATCAGTTGTTGTTTTACCTTTTTCTTGTTGACAAACAAATAAATATCAATGATTGCAACTTGTATATCTTTTGGCATGGACATTTTAACATTTAGACCCCATACGAGTAGAGCAGGTAATACAGGTTTTTATTTAAGTATTTTTACCCTATTGCTGGATTCAAAAATTTTTTACACTTTACTAAATTCTGACATGTGGGACAACTTCTGCATTTGTCACAAACCCATTTGAGCTCATCATTTTGTTAAAACAAAAAGGAAGGAAATCTGGAACCACTAGCTTACAAAGTGTTTGTTTTTCTATGGAAGTCAAGTTGGAGGGTCCTAACATTTCTTTTTCAAAATATATTCTTGTGTGTTCAGAAAAAAAAGAAAGTCATAAAGGTATTAAACCATTTGAGGATGAGTAAGTGATGAGTATTGACATTTTTGAGCAAATTATCCCTTTCAAGGTACATAATAGGACCTTTCCAAAAGAACACCAAGTAACAGCTTTGTACCTTTACTCTAACAGTATTCAAATGTTCAATCTTTATCTTTATAGTCCTTGGCGTGAATGGCCATTGAGGATAAATTAGCATAATTAACTCAGTCAGACAAAATCAACTCATGGCAAACATTTCACACAAGACCATTTCATTAACAGGATTATCTAATGGAATGCAGCAAACCCCATTCACAACAAGACAAGTCACTCAACACATGTAAACTCTGCAAATTCATCTTTAGAGATGCAAAGCCTGCATCACTAAACATAAGAAATGAGATCAGTCACAAACACAGTGGTGCTTTTGATATCCCATACAATCGTGATGACCATTAGTGTGCTTTTAGGTGTGGGAGACATTTTGTCTAGTCAGCACTTACAGCACTTCCAAATGAGCCTTTTGGGTTCATCTAGAGTTTAAAGAAGACATGAATGTAGGTTTGGGGATACCCTAAGAACAGTACAGACGTTTGAGACATTAACACCATATGCTTCTCTTAATCCAATAGGCTTGCACGTGTCTATGTGGATAAGGTGGGGTTTGGAGGGTCCAGAGGGCCTCGTAAACATGCAGGATGACGTTAAAGGCTGTGACACGTGCCAGTTAGACTCACACTGTGCTGGAGTCCATCATATCAGCTTCCCTCCTAGGCCAGAACCCCTTTATAACCTAAACCAAGAGGGACAATATTAAAGAAAAACAAGATTTGAGTGGTGAGAGTCAGTAGAACACACTCTCATTAATACAATGGCGGTCTTCAGCAGTAATAAGACAGAGGGTCTTTAGAGCAGCCATCAAATCTAAATTTCACTGTGCACGCGTTCCCACGGAGATATAAACAGATGATGTCAGAGGGTGGTGCTGCACAGTCATGTCTGCCAAGCAGATGGGGAACTGCATTAGTTAGGAAACATGGAAGAAATGGTCATAGAGACTGTGCAGTTATTATGAAGAGAAGAGAATATGATGCTGTCTGAAATAAACTGTTGCTTATGCAGAAAGAACAGATGCATGTATGCTATGTTAAAAAATATAAGCACTAATCCGTCACCATAGCCACTAAGATGTCCACACATCTGCTTTAATTTCATTCATGAGAGCTGTTCATGTTCTTTCAGTCCTGTATGACTTTAGTTCTTCTGCAAAACACTAGAAAAATGTCCTAAAGAATGTTTTGGGGGCATTCAAATAATCAATATGAAAAATTCATTAAACATTATGATGTAAGAGTTTTATTAATCTGTAAGCTTCAGTTCCAAGTTACAAATGTAAACTTTTACACCAATGTTAAATTTCAGTTTGATGTCATTCTGAAATTAAAGTAGTCAATTGACATCAAATTGACATTTTTGAAATCAAAGTATTAATTTGTTTTATGTCAATTTGATATCCCCACAGTAATACTACATACATTAACATTAGCTAATCAATAGGGTCCGAATTAAAATTCACTGGACCCACTAATCCACAATATATGTATATATATATATATATATATATATATATATATATATATATATATATATAGAGAGAGAGAGAGAGAGAGAGAGAGAGAGAGAGAGAGAGGGAGAGAGAGAGAGAGAGAAAGAGAGAGAGAGAGAGAGAGCAATATCACACGAGTAGCAGTGCAATGTTGCTGTAGATCGCCATACAGCCACATCGCACAGATACTCATGTGATATTGCGTTTATACAACAGTTCGACATCATTATCGTGTGTATAAAAAAGAAAATCAAACATGGAGACTCTCAAAACCTTATTGTAAGAGAAGCTATTTTCTTGCACCTTTCATTCACATCTGCAGCTGACGCCAGAAACGCAGAAGCCGTTTTTAATTCACCAACGTCATTTTAGAGCTAGTATTTGAATAATTCTCCAACAAAATGTCTAAAGTGATGACAACAGGGGATTTTGCCCACATTTTAAGATTATAAGACTGAACCGCATGAAATGCCATCTGTCTACAGAGATATCGCCCAGTATTTCTCTGTTGCAATCAGGAGATCCCAATATTACTATGATATAAATAAAAACAACACTACAACATCCAAAAAAAAAAAAGAGATATACTTAGAAAGTCGTTTAATAATGATTGGATCAGCTGTTGTTTGAAATTACGCCATTTTCTCTTAGAGATTATTATGCGGTCTTTGTCACCATCGTGTGGATGAACATCGTCAACCATGTTTACTCGAAGACAGACTTGTATATATATATATATGTTTGTGGTGGGCCAAAAACAGCATTAGCTTGCTGTGTTAACGCGAGACTCCTATCGCGCGATAAAAAATATTGCCGTTAATCTATTCTTAAAGTTGGGTTGGGAGCTGGGTCTATTCTACACAAGCTATGATGACTTTCACCTTCATATTGTAGCGCTGATGTATACCTGAACATTGAGCCGTTTGACAAAAAAATGCCATTCTGAATCAAATCAGCAGGATGCCCTTCCGGATCTTTCACTTACTTCAAAGATACTACTGACTACAATTACATGGACATCTGTAATGTAGTTATTTGCCTTAATAGACAATATTATAATTAAAGTGTTTACGTGAAGTGCTTTCATGTAAGAGTTTCCTGTAATTTTGGGTGACTTTATAATATATATATTCAGAGATTTTTCCATCTTAAAATTGCCATTTTTCTAAGCTTCCTATGTTTTTCTTTAGTTGATATGTGTGTATGTGTGTTCCACAAGATAATGTATTTGGTTCCATAACAGTAAATCATAATAGTCACCCTTTTGCATTTTATTGCTTGTTTCAGATGAGATGTGATAAAGCGGTCAGCTACTTAAGGATTGTTGGGACGACACTGTTCGGCATTTCACTGCTTGTGGGAATCTCTACTGCTTATATCATGGGGTATAAGCTTGTAACAACTCCGGGCAACTATTTGTCCTTTGGTCTTTATGGAGCAATTCTTGTCATCCACCTCATCATCCAAAGTGTGTTTGCCCTACTGGAACACAGGAACATGAAACGCTCCCTGGAAACACCAATCAAACTCAACAAGTCACTGGCCCTATGCATCGCAGCCTATCAGGAAGACCCCAACTACCTGAGAAAGTGTTTAATATCAGTGAAGAGGCTCACGTATCCGGGTATAAAGGTCATAATGGTTATCGATGGGAACAACGATGATGACTGCTACATGATGGAGATCTTTCGAGAAATCATGGGCCGGGACAAGGCAGCCACGTACATTTGGAAAAGCAACTATCACCACAGAGGACCCGAAGAAACTGAAGAATCATACGCAACAAGCTTGCAGCATGTTTCTCACCTGGTTCTCAATAATAAGTGTGTGTGCATCATGCAGAAGTGGGGCGGGAAAAGAGAGGTCATGTACACCGCCTTCAAAGCCCTGGGAAGAAGTGTTGACTATGTACAGGTGAGTCTGTCTCTCTTTCAGGCGACTAAAGCCTTGTCTAGCCAAGTACACGGGGGCAGCACAGGCAAATTCTACAAAGAAGCTTTTGTGACTCCTTAAGTGGATGCTAGGCTCAAGCGTGTAGCTCACTGAGGGTGAGGAAAGTACATTCCTGCTTAACACTGATGCTGTTCATGAGGGGCTTCTGTGGGAAATCGTTTGCATATACCCGGGCTATTTCTGGCACTTCCAGAAAAGATCTCTGGTATTTTCCATGCCATCTTAGAGCACATACTATTAGCTCATGACATTGGTTGGTTATTTGGCTCAAGGGAGGGACTGTGTCACATAAATACACGTTCATAAATAAGTCACATAAATACATTAAACCTCGAAGGACCTGCTCTCTATGGTTATTTATCTCAATCGTGTGATTCCAGCTTCTGAATTTTTACGAGCTTTAACCAAAGGAGACTAATTATTAAGGATTTTATAATGGCACACAGATGAGAACAGATGTCTACATGTGTTTTCCCATGGCATAAAAACGTTTTGTGACATTGGTATGATCCTATTTGAGAATATTTACTTTTGTTCAAACTATATCCAATGAAATCTCATTTTCTGATGTGATGCAACTTCCTCTCATGTAAGATTCAAGCTCCCCAAACACAAAGCCTGGAGGAACTTCCAATTGACCTCTGTTTTTAACTGTTTTTATTTATTACACTGACATATCTAGCCTTTTTTTTAATTACTCTAATAAATATACAATTTATTCACTATTTACTCATCCTAAAGTGGTTCCAAGTCTTTGAGTTTCTTCTATTAAACACAAGGAAGACATTTTGAAAATGTGCAACCATTGACATCCATAGTTGGAAATCATATACTATCTAAGTTAATGGTTTTCACCTTTCCTCAAAATACCTTTGTTTGAGTTCAACATAAGAAAGGAAATCATAAAGGCCAGAAACAAGTGTGCTTATGTGCTATCCCTTCAAGATGCTATTATAATCTTCAACCTCACATAAGTACATCTTGAGACCTATGCAATATTTTTATACTACCTCTCAGCACTGTCTTGTTTTTTTTTTTTTTTTTTTTTTTCAAAGCCAGCAATTTGTGTGAATGACCTCTGAGAACTCTAAACCCATAGCTGTCATTCATTTGTAATCATGTAAGGCCTCCCTTGTAGACTGAGCAAGTAATGTTATTTTATCCACATGCCACCTGGTTCCAATGAGATCCCTGACCTTTGCTCCAAGTGTAGAGGCCTAATTGTGTTTAACTTATCACTGATCTTGCTACCTGGCTTGTGGTTAGTCTCACTATGGGGTTTAGTTGTAAAAGAAAAAGAGGCATACATGATTTTCTCTTTAAAAAGCGAAAGAACCTCTGGGCAATGCATGCTTAGTGTTTCAAAGTTAGAACACTTAACCGAATCTTTACTGATATTTGAACAGCATGTCCTTGTGTTTGATAAGACTCAATTTTTGGCTCAATAACTATACATTTTAGCCAGAATGGATTCATTAAATTGATCCCCAGGAGAGATTGATATGCTTGTCCCAACATATTTAGCAGCACTTTTTGATTCATTGTAACCACAGAAGCAAAGACAATCTGGTTTTTCTAGACGTGACTTTAAAAAAGAATAATATTTGTTAATATTTGTAATTAGTATATTACTCAGCTTGTATCTTGCTGAATAATGTGACCCCTCAGTACAAGAAGCACAAACATTTTTTTTCTAAGGACATTTTTTTTTTAATTAAAGCATAAATATAAGAATTCTCATCACTTTAAATTAAAAAGAGCAGAATTTAAACAACAAAAAAAGCTTTGATAAAAGTTTGTATCCTCCATTAATCTACTTTTATTGTCCTGGATGCAGGTTTGTGATTCAGACACCATGCTGGACCCGGCCTCCTCTGTAGAGATGGTGAAGGTTCTAGAAGAAGATCCCAATGTTGGAGGAGTAGGTGGAGATGTGCAGGTATGTTGTTTTCTTGATTTTTAAAAATATATGTTACCAATTTATCTAGTCAATGGTTTACCAATAAAAACTACCCAGCAGACACACAATATCAAAAGATGTTAATACTAGGCTAGATTTAGGTCATGACATTAGGTGACAAATTTAATGTCAAGCCAGCGTCTAAGAGCAATGTTATTTTGACGTTCAATGTCGACATTAAATTACATCGATATTTGGTTGATTTTAGGTTGTGTTGGAAAGTGACAACAATCCAATGTCTAATAGATGTCATAGTAGTAATGGCCACACAACGTCAAGGTGTAACATGATTAAACTTCGATATTTTGTTGATTTTAGATTTATTTTAAGTTGGACATTGGACATTGACATTGGCCAGACGTTGAGTTCTGACGTTAACCAGATTTTCATTTCCAAACAAAATCCAACATCCACACAACGTTGGGGTACGTTAAAGTACAACAACAATATGATGTCACGTCGATGTCCTGTGCCTGCAGGGTAGCCTTTGTGCTAAGTAGGTTACATTTCCATCCTTGAGGAATGCACACTGTCCGTTTATCATAAATAGATAGATAGATAGATAGATAGATAGATAGATAGATAGATAGATAGATAGATAGATAGATAGATAGATAGATAGTTTAAATAAATTTTTATCCCATATGTAAAGGATTATCCAGATATTAAAGGCAAAATGAGATGTTTGAAACATCTCAGATTAAGCAAATCTATTAAATTACCATGCAACTAATCTGAAGCTTGTGATTTAATGTTTAAGAGTTGTATGGTCTGAAAAACAATTCTTAATTCATATTTTTTAGACAAATAATCAAGGCCGTTGTTGTTTTTTGGGGTGGAATTGATAAAGCTGTTCAGGGTACTTAAATATTCCCATAGCAAGCTGTTAAGTTATCAAGAGACATGCATATTACAGCACATCCTGTAGAGTTCTTTAGATCTCAAATGGGTTCTCACGGTTCTTTAGTGCTTCAATCTACATTTGTGTAATTTCCATACATGATACATATACATCAATATGGCAGGTGACCAAAACAAGCATGTTATTCTATACATTGAACTCCACCCTTTGATTTCACATTCTCTTTGTTAATCTGTCCTTCCAGATATTGAACAAATATGAGTCGTGGGTCTCCTTCCTGAGCAGCGTGAGGTATTGGATGGCGTTCAACATTGAAAGAGCCTGCCAGTCATATTTCGGGTGCGTTCAATGTATCAGCGGACCCTTGGGAATGTACAGGAACTCCCTCCTCCATGAGTTCCTGGAGGACTGGTATGATCAGACTTTCATGGGAAGCCACTGCAGTTTTGGCGATGACCGCCATCTGACCAATCGAGTACTGAGCTTGGGATATGCCACGAAATACACCGCGCGCTCCAAGTGCTTGACCGAGACGCCCATTACCTACCTGCGCTGGCTCAACCAACAAACCCGCTGGAGTAAATCCTATTTCAGAGAGTGGCTTTACAACTCCTTGTGGTTCCACAAGCACCACTTGTGGATGACTTACGAGGCCGTCATCACCGGCTTCTTCCCGTTCTTCCTTATCGCCACTGCCATTCAACTGTTCTACCAGGGCAGGATCTGGAATATCCTTCTGTTCCTGCTGATCGTCCAGGTCGTGGCACTCATAAAGTCCTCATTTGCCAGTTGCCTCCGAGGCAACATAGTCATGGTCTTCATGTCATTCTACTCAGTGTTATACATGTCAAGTCTGCTACCGGCAAAAATGTTTGCAATAGCCACCATAAACAAATCCGGATGGGGAACGTCTGGAAGGAAGACCGTGGTGGTGAACTTCATCGGACTCATTCCAATCTCAATTTGGTTCACTATTCTTTTCGTTGGCATTATTTATACCATAATCCAAGAGACGCGAAAACCCTTTCCTGAATCCGAAAAGGTGGTTTTGATAATTGGCGCAATCGTTTATATCAGCTACTGGGTTGTGTTTTTGACTTTGTACGCTGTCCTCATTATGAAGTGTGGCAAGAGGAAGAAAGGACAGCAGTATGACATGGTTCTTGACGTATAGTATTTCCCGTGCCCTTCATCCTTTTCTACGTTTACATTAAAGACAGACTGCTATCTGAATGTGGACCTTCCACAGGAAGTGACACTGTAAGGAGACATCAATGCTGCTGTGACTGTCACTAAGAGTATTCCTTTAAAGTGATGAAGGAATATGTTTTGATATGTGAGCTTTGACAGTCTTGATGTTTTAGTTATCCACCATCAGATGACAATTTCTTTGCACTTTTACAATCACTCTTGTTATACATAATGCTTGATATAGAACTTTTAAGGAACAAAATACCTCAGTGGTTGTGTTAGCATTGTGTGAGTGTTTGGGATAGTCTGTGAGACTGTTTTTTATGTAATTTATGATTTTTTATCAAAAAATTTTTTTGTTTTATATATATATATATAAAATATATAATGTATACATTTTTGACTGAAATCCAAAACAGAATTTGTGCTGTACTTTTGTTTGCATAATGTATTTTATTGCCTTTTTATAGATCTTTTTTTTTTCCTTTTTTTTATTATCACCAAAGATTCTCTATTTTCATTAAATATGAGGAAATGTAATGTTTTAAGACTTGCCTATCTGACCAAAATGTGAAATTAGGAGCTGGATTTGTCTCTGTGATGACAGCAATAAAAGGCAAATCTATGGATAAGTTATTCATTTTCTTTGACAATAAGGGCGAAAAACCTGTGTTATAAGTATATGGAGGAAAGACCAGTCTATTTATATGGTTTATAGCTTTATTACATGATTGTTAGCTAAATATTTGTAATATGAAAATGTCATTTGCTGGTTCGATTGAATGTTTTGAATTGTCCCACACAAACTATGCAATTTCAGCATGTGCCAATGTCAAATTGCAATGCAAATTCCCAAGAAAAAGTGACACAGGAACATTTGCACATGCACACACACACACATTGGTATTTGTGGTTTACAGGTACTCTTTGTAGGCATAAAAGTAGTCACTGTAAAATAAAATAAAAAACAAAACGTGTTATATGACCCTACCCACACCTACACCGTTAATTCTAACAGGAAACTAGTGAAAAATATTAAATTTAAAAAAGTATGATTATTAAGCATTTTGAATTACAAGGACACATAAACCTTTCATTATATAATAAATCCTGTAAACTACACACAAAACAAAGGCACTGATACCTTGTTTCATACAACATTCTGAAATCTATCAACATTTGCATTGCTTTTCCAGTGATACCAAACCTGAATTTTCAAGTAGCACTGTGCCTTATTATCTTGGGAAAGCCTTGATTTTATTTATTGAACATGAAAAGACCCCCAAAAAGTGTGTTTATTAAGCATTTTGAATTATTTATTCATTTTCTCGTCGGCTTAGTCCCTTTATTAATCCGGGGTCGCCACAGCTGAATAACCCGCCAACTTATCCAGCAAGTTTTTTACGCAGCGGATGCCCTTCCAGCCGCAACCCATCTTTTGGAAACATTCACATACACATTCACACACACACTCATACACTATGGACAATTTAGCCTACCCAGTTCACCTGTCCCGCATGTCTTTGGACTGTGGGGGAAACCGGAGCACCCGGAGGAAACCCACACGAATGCAGGGAGAACATGCAAACTCCACACAGAAATGCCAACTGAGCTGAGGTTCGAACCAGCGACCTTCTTGCTGTGAGGCGACAGCACTACCTACTGCGTCACTGCCTCGCCCATTTTGAATTTATAAGGACACAAAACATTTTCTCATAAACTACCGTAATAGAGTACAACCCCCTGTCCTTATATGATAAAACCTATAAACCACACACAGACAAAGGCGCCAATACCTTGTGACCGCTGTTGTTTTATACAACCTTTTGTAATCCATCAACATTTGCATTGCTTTTCCAGTGATACCAAACTTGAATTTCCAAGTATCACCATGCCTTAATATCCTGGAAAAGCCTTGATTTTATTTATTGAATGTGAAAAGACCCTAAAGCGTATGATTAGTACATATTTTGAATTACAAGGACACAAGACATTTTCTCATAAACCACTGTAGTGAGTACAACCACCTGTTTAATTATTTAACAAAACCTGCAAACCACACACACACAAAGGCATCAATAGCTTGTGACCGTTGTTTTATACAACCTTGTGTAATTCATCAGCATTTGCATTGCTTTTCCAGTGATACCATACCTGTATTTCCAAGTATCACCATGCCTTAATATCCTGGAAAAGCCTTGATTTTATTTACCAGCAATTTTTTTAATGTTTACCAAATGTTTTAATGTTATGGTTTGAATTATATACAAAAGAGGCAACTTTTGATGATAAGTATAGTGTTTTTGTAGTACAGTAAAAATTTGATTGTAATTGATGAGGGCTTTTTTGAGGCAGTATTGTCATAAAGCACTTTTGTGTTTGTGCCAAATAATAAAAAAGTACATTATAATGCCTATCCACTCTGCTGTTTCCTTTTGTAAGCATCATGTCCTTGAAAAATAAACACATGACCTTATGAATCTGCCTTTTTTCTCTCCAACTTTGGCATCTGTTAGTCTAGTAAGTAGGGGAATTCCTGAGCCCCCAGACAGCTCTTGCGCACAAGGACCTTGCTTGGCCTTGATTTGGCTATTTCATCAGTGGCTGATGAGGGATGAATAGCACAATTATTTTCAAGCGGTATCAGGAAGGATGATTGCTATGGCGATGATTTTTGTTTATGTCATATACAGTGTAAGCAGGATGGAGAAGCCACGCATTTGAAGTCTAGACTGAGCACTTAAAGATGTCTGTAGCGTTGCAGTAAAATCCCTGAGTGCAAGCTGTCACTTTAGTCTATAAATCAAAGATGATATCATGGGTCAGTGTAGAAATAAAACTCACGGCTCTGTAGAAAGAGTCCATTATTCTGTTTGAAGCCGTAGCCTTGGCAGGCGATATCCATCTTAAACACTGCTGACAACTCTGGATCGTGCCCGTAGAAGTCTTGGGAGAACCTGGGCCTGATGACGGCAGAACTCAGGAGCCGTCTTCCCTGGCTGTCCAGCAAATTCCTCATTTCTGTTTTGGCAGCTCTACAGCAACTGGGCTGCACTCTTATACTCAGCCACAGGTGGAGAGGATTCCTTCTGTAAGCTATAGTCATCTGTGTATTAGCACACATTTTTGTGGTCAAGACTTTATTGGGTATAGAAGTTACTGCATGTACAGTTCCATAAACCGCCTGGTGAAAGGGGTGGTTCTTTTTTCTCAAAAATACTTTTTTTTTCTCGTGGACTTTTTGCAGTTATACGCCTCATTTTTTTTATTAAATTGTAAAATTTAAATATTGAATTTTAGTGACATTTTAAGCATTATTTTTGCTTAATTAGCTTGTCGGATGGTTGTCCTAACCAAACTTTTTGATTTACAAAAATTATTTCTAAAGATTTATAATGAGAAAATGTGAAATAATACTTTTTTTAAATACATATTTATTACATCACATGTCACTAAAAAAAAGGAATTTGTTTATGTTTTAAATTAAAAACTAATCTAATATCATTTAGTAGACAAATAACAAACTGGCCATTTGAATAAAAAATAATTATAACAATAATAATAACAATAGGTGGCACAGTGGCAGCACAGTCACTTCACAGCAATAAGGTCGCTGGTTCGAGCCTCAGCTGGGTCAGTTGGCATTTCTGTGTGGAGTTTGCATGTTTTCCCCGTGTTGGCGTGCATTTCCTCCAGGTGCTCCGGTTTTCTCCACAGTCCAAAGCAATGCATTATAGATCAATTTAGTAAGCTAAATTGTCGATTGTGTATGTGTGTGAACGAGAGGTTATGGGTTGCAGCAGGAAGGGCATCCAGTGCGTAAAACATATGCTGGATAAGTTGGCGGTTCATTCCACTGTGGCCACCCCTGATTAATAAAGGGACTAAGCCGAAAAGAAAATTAATGAATAATAATAACAATTTAGAGCTTCACAATTTATCTAGCCTCTCTTGTAAAAAAAAAAAAAGTACATTTGAAAACTCATGGATAATAATAATAGACAAAACAGTATTCAGATCAATTTCAATATTGTCTGCTTTTGGTGCTTTACACATTTTAGTGCTCTTTTTGTTTTAAGAACAAGGTTCAAGATTCAAAATAAAATTAAAATGTGTTTCCTATTTAAAAGCATTGCAGCAGTGAAAGATGACTTCTCTTTTAGCAGATTGTAAAATGAAAACATAAACACTTAAAAAAAATTGTTACCATTTACTGGACCTTGTTTCAATCAAAAATATGATAATGGCAATGGGTTTAGTGTGATTTTGCCAAGGTAAGAGATGTTCTTCCTGGATCAACATCAGTTTAGGTTAGGTTTAGGCCTACAGTTAGAAACAATATCTACTTAAATGTTATGCAAGTATTAATCCCCTGTTTTTTTTTTTTTTTTTTTTTGAGAATAGCTTGCAGTTAGACTTAGGTTTCGGAGCATAGATTGCATATGAATTACATTTTTTGAACAGGAATGATGTTCCTGGATCAATATACTGTAGATGTTAATCTAGTATCACATTCTACTTGGCAAATTCATAGTTAGAGTTATATAATGTTTTGGTCCATATTTGGAATTATTCATATTGCCCAGAGTAAATGTGCACCCTGAACTGACATGGAGCTGACATTTTTTCTTTTTACCAATTTTTTAAGTCACATGGGATGAATTAATGTTTTTTTTTTTTTTTTAATGCTTTTTATGGATTTTGATTGTCTTAGAACCAAACATAGGTCTCCAGGGTTTGGAATGACATGAGGGTGAGTAATTAACAAAATCATTTTTATTTTTGGATGAGCTAACCCTTTATGGGCCAATAATAATCACAAGTGAGGATTCCATTTGCCCTGCTCATTCTAAAGTGCAGAACCCGTGATGTAAGAGCAGGGTACTTTTGTGTCGTAATGAAGCCATCTGGAAGACATTTGATAAAGGGAGCAGTGATAGACAATGTACTTTCTCTTTCTCTTCACCTGCAAAGCTACCATGACAACACAAACCAGAAACAACAGGAATATCTTATTATTGATGTCACTTTGCATGGCAAAGAAATATACATTTTATGTGTGTGTGGGTGTGTGTGTGATTCCACTCTGGTCTAAACCACCTTCCCATTGTATCACGCTTTAAAATGAACCCTGCAGACTCTTCAGTCTCGGTCACATGACCATTAATCAAAACCTTAAACTGTACTCACATAATTTGTTAATATTGTTGTTGAGTAGTCTCATAATATTGCAATTCTGAGTTCACACATTTTGTTCCACTTGAAGCCGCTCACGTTTTCAGACTCTAATTCCTATTTTACTGTGGCAATACCATCAATATCTATGGTCATGCAGGTGGCGAAGTGGTTATGTGGTCCAAGTCATAGCTTTCTCAAAATTTGTGGTTTTTATATTTTATTTATGAGTCTTGTAAGAGACATGATTTTTTTACTAGTTGGAATCTTGTAATTACGGTAATTGTGAGATAATGTAAGTGCAGCATTGCTTTCTCAAAATGACTATTTTTTGTGTTGTTTGTTAACAAACAAATATGAAAACACTACATGTTGAACATGTTGGAACTCACTACCACCTGCCATCAGAAACATTGACTCCCTTACACTGTTCAAATCAAGACTCAAAACCCAC